TCTTGGTAAAATTTCTTGGTCGATAGGAATGGCTTCCTCAAAAACTATTTCTTGAAAGGTGGTGCCACGAGCAATTTTGCCCCGTGCTTTCCGGAAAGAGAATAAATCAAAAAAATATATTCTCCGTTTGCCTAAATAAAAAAGTCCTTGTTCTTGGATTTCAAAAGAGTTATTTTTTATTCCTTTTTCTTCACAAAACTTATAAACTAAATCTTGTCAGTAAGGTTTGGAGCATTCCAGACTATCGTGCCAATGCCGACGGAGTCAGACATATTTATTAGAAGTGGTGGTTATCTGTTCTAAAAAAGTTCAGGCTTTTGTGTCTGTTTTTCCTCGTTTTCTTTCGGTTAAGTAAATGTGGAAAAGGGCTGGATTAGTGTAGATTTGTTGTCAGTTTATATATTTATTTGCTGGCATATTTGATAGTTAAATTGTTGGTTCGTCTCTCTCTCTCTCTCTCTCTCTCTCTCTTGCTGAAATTCCTGTAATTCTTTAAAAGTCAAATCACAACCAATAAACTCTCTTTTGAGTTCTTGGCAAGCATCTAACACGACGAATGAACCAGCACAAGGATCCACAATTAAATCTCCCTCATTAGTGGTAGCAGTAATAAGAGCCTTTACTAATTCTCTCGGTTTTTGGTGAGGATGTTTTCTTTTATTACTGGCTAATTGACTTTCTTCCCAAACATTACCAAAACTTCTATCTTTAAACACTTTGCTATCATAAGGAAATTTCTGCACCAAAAAACAAAACTCGGCTTGACTTCTTAATCAACTTCCTAATCCTAATGTGTTTTTCTTATATCAGACTAAACAATCAACAATTTTCAAATTAGGAGTTTTTAATAATCATAATGGCACTCGGTCATTTCCTAGCAAAGTTTTATTTACTCATAAGAGACAAAAAGAACTGGGTTTCAATACTCGTTCTATCTGCTCTAATATTCTTAATATTTGATAGTCAGAAGTATAAGAGAGAGGATAATCTAATTTCAATACTGTGCCTACTTTCTCATATTGAGGGTCGAGGAAGATTAAAGAGGCTGTATTGTCGGGTAAACTGGTTAACAATTCCAAGGCTTCACCTGATTGTTTGGTGTTAGATAAATATTTATTCATTAGTTAAAAAATAATTTCACGGGTGTATATAAGCAAGCAGAAGGCCAACGGGGTAAAGAGAAAATTGGTGGGTCTGTTGGTCGGTAGGCCTTTTTAAGAAAAAGTGTCTTACAATCAACCAGCCAACCAACTTCTCTCTCCCCGTTTGAGCCTTCCCCCACCTTTTTATTGCTGTTGGAAGTCTAAAAGTTGCTTGTTGGTTATCCATTTTTTATACTTAAAGACTAAATTTTGGTTTAAAATCTCCATTTTGATTATTTGTTGTCATTTATTAGGGTCTAAATTTTCTTGGAGAGCCTGTAATTTCTCCGTCCCTACTTTTAAGACATAATAAGTCTGGCCCATTCTTTTTCCTTCCTTAAATTGCTTTTCGATGATTTGTTCGGGAGAGGTTAAAGAGCCGACCAAAGAATAAATTGAATAGTGTTGGGGTTGGGTTTCAGTGTAGTAAGAAATAATTTTTTTAGTGAGTTCTTGCAAACAGTTAGAGGAGAGTTGATTATTTGGTGTTCCTAATTTTTGGACTAAATATTTTTCTATTTCTCCCCTCTCAATAATTTGCTTGTTTTTTAATTGTTCTCACAAGTTCATATAAGGGATTTTAATCCCTTTTTAGTCTCTTGTTAGCAAGATTTTAATGAGATATAAGAAGTAGATATCAAGTGTGGATAAAACCAAAAAAAGCAAGCAAAAAGTTTTTGTTGTTTGTCTCTCCTATCTCAATGAAAAAATATCCGATCTGTTAACATTCTTTCTCTTTTCTTTATATTATTTCTTTAAAAAGAAATAACGCTTTATATGGTTATAATTAATAGTAGTATCAATATATATGTAAAGGGCAGGTTTAGAGGTTATATCCACCATGTATATCTACACATTAGATATAACAAAAACTAGGCCAAAAAAAACCATTCTCCTTCCCTGAACCGAGCAACTTGTTAAAATACTAGTATATTATTCAACTGCCTGTTTTAACTAGCCAATTTAAACACGGCCATATGAACTCCGTGTATTGGTCTCTATCTAGGTGCCAACCCAGGCATCCAATCCCTTTATGACTTTCATTCTTACTCCCAGGAATAAAAAAAAGGCTGGTATTGCTAGAAATTGCCTCGGTGAGAGATTATCCTCTCAATTCGGACAATTAGCATTATGATAGGAATAAGTAGGGATTTGTTTGGTTATCTTATCCCTTTTAATACGGCCTTGTGTCGTCACCCTTATTCCGTGGCTCTTATTCTTATATTTCGAGCCTTAACTAATTGTCCGAGTTCAAAAAATAATCACTAATTTTAATCCATTTTCAAGGACCCAAAAATTACGAGGAGCCTGGAAAACCCCAACTCTCATAAATTACCTATTTTTGCCTTTTTCGTTTATTTCCATAAGGGGTCTGTTAATATTTGTTTGTTCCTACTTCCCCTATTGTCTAATTTGCCCCTTCTGAACCCCTTATTTATACGGGGATTATTCAAGGTTTTAATTATTATATCTTCTTAAATATTTGTTAAAAGTATATTTTTTGCTGATTGGCATTTTTTCTCTAAACTTGTTTAGACACTCAAAACACAAAACTTTATAAGGAGTTTTTAATTCTCAAAATTTAGTCTGATATCTTTGCTTTACTTCTCCATGGTGGCCGGCTTTTGGTAAGGGTTTTTGACATTTGCTACAAATATCTCAACCTTTTTCTTGCCGTAATCTTTTTTTGTAATCCTCATAATTAAGTTGTTGGATTTCTCTTTGGTCGATTCTGGTTTCTTCTCCTAATGGTTGATTTTTACAAACAAAACAGGGTCTTTCAGTAATGGTTCGGGTATTTTTGATACAACTGCAACAATATTGATTAGTGATTAGGCAGGGCAAGTATTTTTGGCAGGCCTGGCATAATTTTTTATTTCGGTAAACCATGATTTTTATTGGAAACCCCTCTTTTTCTTTAAGGTCTAAAAAGATTACAAGTAAAAAGACCATTAATTAAAATCTCATAATTGGTTCAGCAAGTTTTTCAAAAACTCTCTTTCTCTAACATCCCTTTCACCATATTTTCATTGAATAGATTGGATTTTCTTGTGTCTAAAAATTAGTTGGTATAAATTAGGCATGGATAGAGAATTATCTTTATAATTGGCTTGATTTTCTCCTTTTGAATACTTTTGGATTAGTTGCTGTCTTTCCTTGTTCTTTTCTCGTAATTTTTCTTTTAAACGATTAATAGTCTCGGCTTGTTCGGTTCCTTTTTGGTAAAATTCTTTTTGTAAATCAAAATATCTCTTTTTCCATAATTCAATAGCAGGATTGATAGGCTTTTGTAATTCTTTTATCTGCCTTTCTAATTCAGGGCAATGGGAGCAGGGTCCGACGTTTTTGCTTTCAGGTTTGCCATTCTCGGGTTTGCCATGGCTAACCTCTTTTGGGTTTGCCGTTAGGTTTGCCATTTTTGGCTCAACCTGATTATTTTGGCCAACCTCTAATGGCTCAACCTGGCTAACCTGGGAAGTGGCTAACCCCAATTTGGCTAACCTCCTCTTTTCTCGTCGTTTTTGGTTTAATGCTTCTTTATTGGTTTGTCAATAATCTTTCAATTGGTCTTTATTGAATGGCATAATCGTAAATATTGGGGTCATTATTCCACAACTTACTATAATCAGCATACAAACTCTCGTAATCGTTATGGATATATTGGGAAGTGGTTTCTAAATTACTATGTCCCAGGAGTTTTTGAATGGTAGTCATTCTCACTCTTTTTCGGTCTAAAAGAGTAGCAAAACTTCTTCTGAAAGTATGAGGGCTAACCCATTTTTTTAAGCCTGCTAATTTGGTTCGTTCTCGAATAATTTCTCGAACTTTATCGGTTAAAATTTTCCGTCCTCCCTGATTAGTAAATAAATATCCCTTACTTCCAAGACTGATATATTTCACTAAAAAAGGAGGTAAAAGCACATATCGGACTTTATTCCCTTTACCTTGTATTCGTAAAGAATTATCGGATCAATCTCGGTGTTTTATGTTGACTAATTCGGATACTCTAATTCCGGAATAAAAAAGAAAATCCAAGATTAGATTGTTTCGGATAAATATTTGCTCGTTTTTTTCAAATCGGGCTTGTTTTAGCAGGGATAATTCTTTCTCATTAATGGTGGTAAAAAACTTTCTTAACTTTTTGGGAATTAAGCCCTTAATTTGGTCTCACTTTTAAATATTTGCTATAAGAAATAAGAGCAGCCAAATATAGTTGACAAGTAGCAGGTTCTTTATTTTTGGCTAATTTTTTAATGAATTTGGTGATATTTTCCGTAGTGAGAGAGTTGTGAAAATAGTTGAGGGCCAAACGATAAATGGTTATTGTATTGGGGGATAGATTTTTGATTTTTAAATAGTTGAGATATTTATAATTCATAAGATTTTTTGGTTTGGGGTTTCTGGCCTTGGCACTTTTGGCAAAATTTATTAAATATTCGTTCAATACATTTGACTTGTTGGCACTTTTTACAGTGTCGGTTTAGCCAAATGATAAGGGTTAAAATTAAAAAAATATTTCCAGTAATTAGGATGGTTAAAATGATGGTTAGCATGTTATTTTCTTTCTTTTTCTAATATTTTCTTACAATTGCCACATATTCAGCCTTTATCTATTTTCACGGCTCCTAATTTTAAAATATGCTGATAAGTGGCTATTTTTTGGCAGTTAGGGAAGTTGTATTGGCAGAGTTTATTTGGCATATTCTTTAATCAATTGGGCTAACAGAGTATCTTTTTCAGTAATTAAGCACAAAATATTCTGATCTAATTTCAGACTAGTGATTTCACCTACTTTGAATTTCTTTAAAAATTGTTGGTTAAGTTTGATAGTGCCATTAGTTAACTTGTCTTGGTTAAAAACGGCTATTAATTGTTGGGTTTTTCTTTTTTGGAGTTCAGAGAGGAGTTGTTGGGTGGTGAATTGGCTTAATGATGGTTGGTTAATTCTTGACATAATTTTCTAAATATTGGCTGCTTTTTTTCTTTGGAAGTGTAATCTTTCCCCGTAATAACGGGGGTATCTTGGGGGATAATTAGTCCGTCTGGCTTGATGCTTTATTTAAGGCCTAAAAAGATTACAAAAAAGGCCGTTAATTTAGGCTTGTTTTCAGCAAGGAAAGCAGTAATAATCACCTTCTTTATTTTGCTTCATCTTTTCGGTTAAAAAATGAGAATAGCAGCCATGGCATTTTTCCGTATCAGGACAATCATCATGAGTTATACTTCGGACTCAAATTGACATAGTGAAGCCGTTATTATTTTGTCATATCGTATCTATTTTGACTTCACCTGAAGTATCTCATCATAATTCAAAGTTGCCCTCTGATTTATCTTGTTGGGTGAAGGGCTGGGAGCAGTTGGAGCAGGTAAATTGGGTAATATCTAAATTAGTATCTTGGATTTTATTGCTGGCTCCCATAGTTTATAATTCCTTTCAATTAATTAGTCGGAAAACTTGCCCTGCTCCTGGTTTTCTCTGGCAAAAAAAATGGTATCTTTTGCCTACATATTTCTTTTGCTCTATTTTTTGCCAAATGCTCTCATTTTCTAATCAATCTTTAAAAATTAATATCTCTTTAATTTCTGGTTCATCCTCAATAATTACTTGACATCGTCAAAATTGATTGCCGTAATGTTCGGATTTCTTATTTCTTACCTTGTCTAGTTTTCTTTCCTTTATCTTACCAATTAGATCGTAAATTTTGTTATTTGGCATATTTGTCATGAGTTTCTATTTGTTGATTTACTTCTTGGTTTAGGAGTTGGTAAGAGTGGGCTGTAAAACTTTTTCTCTGGCTTTTAATTGGTTCGTCAAAATGTCCCTCTACTTGTAAATAGGAGCCTTTTTTGATTTTGGGTTTGATTCAATTTCCTGACTTCTCAAAAAGTCTAAATTTTTTCAAACAATTTTCATTCCAACATCATTTTTTATAATGTTTGACTTCAAGTTTTCCCTCACAAAAAGGACAATTATTTATTTCCATTTCGTAAGTTCCGATATAATTAGGGTCTAGGAATTCCCGAAATTTACTTTTTATTTCATCTTTTATTCTAAAAATGACAGGAACATCTTCGGCTAAATAACCACAATTCTCATTATAATAGCCACAATCGGGCCGACCACATTTAGATTGCTTTTCTCACACTTCTTCACAATATTGGCAATATCTGGTTGTCAGTTTAAAAAAACAATAAGCAGGGGTATCGGATAATTTTTCTCGGGTTCTAATTTGGGAGGTGGTTATTCCTTGTAAGGTGATTAATTTTTTGTCTACTTTTTGCTGTTGTTGGTTAGTAGGGACCTCACTGCTTTTGGCAGACATATTATTAGTTGCTAATTCTTTTTCTGTCATATGCTTGCTTTCATATAGACAGAGTGAGGTTTTTTGGGAAAAAGGTCTATTAAAATTAATTAATAAACACTTTTATATAAGCGAGTGCGGGTCCATAGCTCATTTGGCAGAGCATCTGTTTTGCACACAGAAGGCGGTCGGTTCGAAACCGACTGGATCCACCATAACATAAAAATGGGAAAAGATTTTCCTTTTTTGTTGTTGAAAGTTATTTTGAAAGAAAAGTTTATGTTAATCATAAAAAAAGTTAATCATAGTAAAGGCCATAGACCGAGAGGTCAGGCATCCTCTGGCCTGCCTAATTAACATTTAATTTGAGTATTGTAATAGACATGGATATTTTATGCAAATAAAAATAGTATAGAATATTTTGCCAGATACCAAAAATAGAAATTTTGCCTGTTAAAGGCCAATAAATAAAAGCAAAAAACCGCTTTCTAATCTTGAAACAGAACACGCAAAAACAATAAGTCTAAATTGAAGCAGGATTAGAATAATGATAAATAATTTACTTGATGTTCTACATCAAAAGTTGCTTAAAATAAATATTATGGTATAGGATAAAAAAATAATTGTAGAAAGTAGAATAGGGATGTTATTGAGAAAGAAAAGAGGAATTTAGGGCTGGTGTGAGAGGAAAGATTATTTATACAATATAGTGGGAACTAAGAGAATTGAAATGGTTAGTTCAGATAATAGAAAAGGCGAAAAAGTTTAAAAATAGCACTTAATTTGTAAAAGGTAAATCATAAAATATCATGACGTTAAATCTAAAAGAATTAAATATTTTAGTTTGTAAAAAAAATAGCAAATCTGAGACAAGACTTTATGCCGTAGGGTCGGAAATCCCTCATATCTTTCCAGTTCGAGATTTTGGAGAACGCCGACGAGACGCCAGCCAGAAATGGCCTATAAATTTCAAAAGCAAAATTGTTATTATAAAAGAGTCTCTTAATTTTGTGTTTGACAAAGAGAGAGAGAGAGAGAGAGAGAGAGAGAGACGAACCTCCCACGAAACCGACAAGACGGCAGCCAACTTCTCTTCAATAACGGACAACAATCCGGAGACGAATGAACCAATCCCTCTTTTGGACAACTCCGCGAACCGGCGGAACCTCCCGTCAGGACCACAATTTAAACTAGATTTACAATTTTTTGCAGTATCTAAAATAAAAAAAGCAAAAAAACCCACGAACGCGATAAGAATTGCTCCCCAAATTAGGCAGCAAAGATTAAGAGAGTTAGAAGCAGAACTAAAAGAAACAAAAGAAAATCTAGAACTTGCAGCACAAGTCGGACAAGGTCTTATTGAAATAAACGGAAACTTAAACAGAGAAATTGAAAGATTAAATAAAGATATTGAAAAGTTGAATAACGAATGAATCGAAGAAAACAACAAAAAGAACCACAAAATTAGAAAATTAGAGGAAAAATTAGCCGAGGTTAGAAAAGAAATTGACAACGAGATAGGAGCAGAAGTGGCCAAAAAGGACGCAGAAATTACTCTGCTGGCGCGACAAATGGAAGAACTGCAAGAAGAAAACCGAAGATTGCAAACAGAAAGAGACGAATTTGAAATGTCTTTTCTGCGAGGGGCTGGTGAAGTAGCCGCAAGTAACGAGAGGATAAAATTCTTAGAAAGCGAACTGGAAAAAAGAGATAACGAGAGTGAAAACTTAAAAAAAATAAATGAGAAACGGGCAAGAGAAATAACCGAACTGAAAAAAGAAAAGGAAGATTTAACCAAAAAATTAGCAGACGCCGAGGAAAAGTTAGCCAACCAAGATGCAATTCTCCGACGCCGACAACAAGAAAATAGAGATTTAGTAAATGAAAGAGATAATTTGAAAGAAAAGAATTCAGAGTTAAACGATTATTGTCTCAAACAGCACAATCAATTAAATTCACTCACCGAGAATTACAATAAATTACAAGACGAAAATGAGGAATTGAAAAGAGAATTGGTCTCTCGTTCGGCTCGACCCAGTTTCTCGTCAGAGGCCAGTTCACGGACTCTCTCCCTTTATGGAAGCGATCGTGATTTCAAAGAAATTAGAGATTATTTTTGTAAACTTTGCAAACAACCAAAACCAAATTGAGATGATGAAGTTAAAAGAAACGAAAAATCATCAACAACACCCGACGAAAGCCACAGTGAAAAAGAAACAAAATCCCGCCAAAATTCAGCACCAGGAGACAGAGGACGCGGCCGAGGCAACTTCAAACGACCATCGGTCAGTGATTATGAAGGAAGCCATTCTGATTCCAACCGTCATCCCCAAAGGCAAGCAAGTGACGAAAGTAGTTATTATGCCGAATCACCAACCAATTCCATGCTTATTGAGGATACTGCTAGCACTTCGTATCTTGATGACCTATTAAAAGAAAGTAAAGAATTAGTTGGCGAACAAGAAATAGAAATCAGAAAATTAAAAAAACAGATTGCGGAATTAGAGAAAAATGCCAAAGCGGACAAAGAAAGAATTGATGAACTACGAAAAAACAACAATGAAGCCTACCAAAGAACTAACGAATTAAACCAAAAACTTGCAGATAATTCCCAAGATGAAAAAATTGCCGAGCAGAGAAAAATCATTATTCAGGCATTACTAGATTGAGCCGCCAATATCGACCAACTAGAAAAAGAGTTAAAAAAGCAATTGCTTATAAAGGCAAAAACGGCTGTTAAAAGTGTCAACCCTCTTGATGAAAAAGTTAGTGCTATTCGTGAGGAATTTGAAAGCAGTTCCAAAGAATACGAAAGTCTTTCATTTAGGGATACTGATGCTCCGACCGAAAAAACGGATGAAGATAATTCTCCCGAAGTGGCACCAATCATAATTGTTTCTGGCGAACCAACGGAAGAAAGTGTTTCACTACTAAGAAAATTATCCGAAGAAGAAATGGAGAAAATCAGAGCCAAAGCCGCTGAATTGACCGACCCAGCCAAAAACGATTGACAAAAAATTCGGGACCAACTTGGAACAGATTACAACGACAGCCTCCATGCTACCTATGACGAGTGAAAGGGTGCTAACGGCATTCTGCCCGACAAAAGCGACGATACAGACAACGATTCTGATTTTGATGACGAATCGTTCAGAGAAATGAGTAAGAGTTGGGAATTAGCCAAAGAACTATTGAATATTCCGGTCGAAACGAGAACGCCAGACCGCCTGCCTCTTTCTCCCCAACTTGCTCCTATATCAAATTTGGAAGCCGGACTTAAAGAAATAATTGACACCGCCGACAAGACCATTGACGATTTTAAAAAGGAGACGGAAGCCGAAGTTGAAATGTGAGAGGAAGAATCAGCCGCAATCAGGGCCCAAGAAGAAAAATTATTAGCCAAAAAAGCCGCCACCGAGACGAAATTGACAAATCTCCGAGATAAACTTGACCGTAGAAATAAAGCGATAGCGGAATTAGAGAAAAAGATTAAGGATTTGAAAGATAAAGAAAGCGGATGAAACCCGGCAACAAATAAAAAGAGCAAAAAATTAACAGAACTAGAAAAAAAATTAGCAGAAGTAATTAATGGAACTGATGACGGAACCAAAAAAAAGGAAGGACAAATAGAATGTGCCAACAAAGTGACTGAATGAGAAAACAAATTAGCCGAACTTACAGAATTGCTAAAAGGTCTTGAAAGTTGAAAAAATAATCTCGGTAAACTCAATTCCGAGGAGCATAAGAAAGATTTATTAAAAAAATTAAACGAAGCCGTTAAAGACAAAACAAGATTGTCTGAAACAGATGAAACAGATGAAACAGATGAAACAGATGAAACAGATGAAACAGATGAAACAGATGAAACAGATGAAACAGATGAAA